CAGAGCTCTTATTGCAGGAGGTGGTGCCCCAGAAATAGAGTTGGCCCTGAGACTGACTGAGTACTCTCGAACACTGAGTGGTATGGAGTCCTACTGTGTTCGTGCTTTTGCAGACGCTATGGAAGTCATTCCGTCTACACTAGCTGAAAATGCTGGCCTGAATCCCATTTCTACAGTAACAGAACTAAGAAACCGGCATGCTCAAGGAGAAAAAACTACAGGCATTAATGTCCGAAAGGTAATAATGTGATGTTTACCATTGTGGAAGAAAAGGTTGGTAGAAGGAAACATTGTTTAGTTTTGTCCTTGTTGATTGGTTAAAAGTAGTGTAATTTTGGATACAAACCTGAAACCTGGAAAGGTTACAATATATCGTCAGAATAAAGATGGTGCTGTGGGAAATAGCACTCATCAGCTACCATTTACTAACTTGTAGGAAGGTTAGTCTCACTTTATTTCCTGGGTTGTAAAAGCATCTTACCTCATTGGTGCTTGGGAGGGCACTAGTTAAGCGGGTGTTAAGTATAATGGTCGTTGTGTTGTGAGCATCAGCTGTTAACATGCCAGGTGAGCAGAGAGGAGTGATAGCTGTCCCCTTACTAAGTGTTCTGTTGAAGAGATGGGGGGAATCCTAATAAGCCTAGATCCTAGTTCTTGAGTGTTACAGGATCCCAAGTATGGCACTTCCTGGTTGGTTGTGTGCGGTCAAATCCTGAAGGCATCTGCTCCTCTGCAGGGTGGAATTTCTAACATTTTGGAGGAGATGGTGGTCCAGCCCCTGTTGGTGTCTGTCAGTGCTTTGACCCTTGCAACTGAAACTGTACGGAGCATCCTGAAAATTGATGATGTGGTGAGTAGAGTGAACATTCCTGGGGGTCTGAGGTTTCACTGGTTTAACTTGGTGGGTCAGAAGATAACAGTTCGTAACTACTGTTTCCTGTAAAAATGAGGCAGTTTAGATAATTACCTTAAACGTCATCTAACATTTGATATCATTACAAGTTTTGAAACCTAAGTATTTTTTTTTTTTAAATCAGGTAAATACTCGATAATCTGGAAAAGAATGGCCAACTGACACCATCATGGACAGACAGACTGGGGCTAAAATGGAAGGGTGATCACCTTGGAGTTCTTCTCATCTGGAGGCTAGCTTCTTCAGAGTTTTTGGACATTGTCTTCCAGTTGGCATTTGTTTGAAATTGTATTGAAACAATTTAATGAAAATATTAAATATTTGGTCTCAAACTGCATATTTGTCACTCAATTTATACTGTTTTTGATACTTTATAGGAAAAGCCTGTTGGCAAGCTACACGTACCCTTAAAGTTTAACCTTGTTGGGGTTTTTGTTGTTGTTGCTTATTCCTGTATATTCTGTTAATTTTTTGTTTATTTGTGGTTGTGTTTGGTTGGTTTGTTGTTTGGAAAAGGCTTTTTCTGCGTAGCCCTAGCTGTCCTGGATCACTTTGTAGACCAGGCTGGTCTCAGACTCTCAGAGATCCACCTGCCTCTGTCTCCCCGAGTGCTGAGATTAAAGGCTGGTTCCTTGGTTCTTTGAGACAGGGTACCCTGGATAGCCGTTACAGGTGGGCACTGTGGTGCCCAGTTTGTACAATGCTGGGGATGAAACCCAGGGCTTTATGCTATCTCCCTGAACCTCCCACCTGAACCTCTCAAATGAATGCTGAGATTACAGGTATGAGTCAGTATTCTCAGCCAAATGCAAGATTTTTATAATTTCCTTTTTATTTTGTTTGCATATTGGGGAGCAATGTACATGATAGGATGCTTGGAAATAAGATAACTTGGGAACAGATTAGTTCTCTTCACCATGTGGGTTTCAGGCATCAAACTCACAAGTTGTCAGGCTATCTTGATGACCCATATTTGCAAGTTTTTTAGTTTGGTTTAACACCAGGGTATGGTGGTATATACCTTTAATCCCAGCACTCAGGTGGCAGAGGCAGATGGATTTCTTTGAGTTCCAGGCCAGCCAGGGCTATCTATACATTTTGAGACCCTGTTTCAAAAATTAAATGTTCTAATATGTTTATCACATGAACAGTGTATTACTTTTCTGTTGCTGTGATAAAACACCATGGCCCAAGGTTTAAATCCAGAGGGTTAAAAGTCCACAGTGTCCTGGAGAGATGGCTCAGACATTAAAAGTCCACGCTGGGCTGGAGAGCTGCTCAAACATTAAAAGCACTGTCTGATCTGGTCCTGAGTTCAATTCCCAGCAACCACATGGTGCCTCACAACCATCTTTAGTGAGATCTGCTGGCCTCTTCTGGCCTACCGGCCGGCATGCAAACAGACCACTGCATAAGTAATAAATCTTAAAAAAAAAAAAAAAAAAAAAGGCCATGGTGATAAAGCAGGAGGCATGGAAGCTGAGGACTTGCCTCAGGAACCACAAGCACAGCAGGGGACTCCAATGGTGCCAGTCTTTAAGCCCCCAAAGCCTGTCTTCCATAGTGATGCTAGAAGCTGTCCAAGCAGCACCACCAGCTAAGCCTGGCTATTTGTATCCATGCAAACGCCTTCCCATAAAAAGCTTCAAAGCACAATGTAAGTGTGACCTAACAGACAAAGGAAGCCCGCCATTCCCCATCAGTCTTTCTCCGGAGTAGTGCTAGCTGAGGTGCCTATACGGTGTTCTGGTCTAGAGGATAGCCCAGTAGTAGAGCAAGTTCACATAAGCCTCCAGATCCTAAGAAACAAGTGCAGTTGGACACATTGTGATTTTACAGACTCACATGGTCTTGACTTTCTTCACGATGTTATTATATTTCAGGCGTAATCAGACCTCACCACGGTGCCTGTAAAATTCAAATTCGGTACATACCAGACTATTCCGCACTCATTTTAGGGAGTGAGGTTTTACACCCCGATAGGTACTTCTCTCAAATTCTCACACCTTTGAATAAATGCCTGCTTTTAAGGTTAGCCACATTCTGGCCTGTACAGTCTGGTGCTTCATTGAACCATCACCTGTATATCACAGAGTCTAAGATGTTAGTTAAGGAAAACAAATATAAATCTAGGGTCTTGAGATAAAGATCTTTGGAACATCCAGAATTTAGGTTTTTCTTTCCTTTTAGTTGATTGTTTAGCTTTATAATTCATTAAACCAACTGGATCAGCTGTCTTAGAAACTTCGGTCAAAATATTCTAGTACACATTGTGGGTGCTGGGGTATTACCCATTACATGTTTATCTAAAAATGCAGCTGATTTGGCAGAATGTAAGAGGACTTTCTAGGAGAAATGCTTGCTAGCCTTTGCTTACGTGAAACGTGCTATGGTAGAAAACGACTGCCTAGATGTGGGGTTTGTACACACCAGCTCACAATGAAGCTCTGTTACAGGGATTAGAACAAGTCAGAAATCTCATCCAAAGACGCTCTGTTACACTTAAGAGGATGCTCTTCCTTACTTAAGGCAAAAGGCTAGAACAGGCTAAAGGGGCAGAGATTTTGTGCTTGTGTTTAAGTGCTATTCCCCACCTCTCACTTCATTATTATAGTTTTCGAGTGTTGAGGAAAGTGTAAGGAATGGTGTGAAGGCTAAAATCCTCCATGTAGATGCAGCATTTTCCCGTTCATTCCGTTCTGAAACATTTGACTTGAAGTGGCCACGTATGCAAACGGCAGGAAAAGTCTCAGATGGTTGCTAAGTGAGTGGCGCCAAGCTTGTGAAGGGAAGTCACCACCTCCAGAGGAGCAGCGGTAAGTAATGTGGTTAGGTGCCTGACCAGCAACACAGGGAGCCAGCAAAACTGGAAAGCTGTGCACGCGTTGGCTAAGTGGAAGCCAACCGTGGTGTCAACGCCTGTAATCCCAGCACTGGGGAGACAGGCAGGCAGGTCTCTGAGAGTTCAAGGCCAGCCTGGTCTACAAAGCGAGTCCAGGACAGCCGAGGTGACACAGGGAAACCCTGTCTCGGAAAACAAACGACTAAGCGATGCTGTACATAAAATATGGCATTTAAGCTGGAAAAACATCGAAGGCTGTGAAGAGCCGCATTTAGGCGACTCGGCTTCTTCTTTTTTAACCCGTGTTAGATGTCTGCCAATTTAGAATACTGTCAGTGAGCCAAAACCTGTTGTGTTCAGTGTATGTCCTGTGCAACGTCCACACTAACGTCCTCCCCACTAGTTGCCTGTGGCTGACAGAAGTCAGCCCTGTTAGGTCGGCTATGGATTCCTCTCACAGCTTTTCAGAACCAACGTTACACACCAGTTCCCTCGGGAGAAGCAAGCTCAGCCAGAACAGGAGCCGAAAGAAGGGACGTGGGGGAGACTTCCCCGGGCGACCACGGAGGCCTGGGCAAGCGCGTCGCAGACAGTTGTGTGGAAGGCGGGCCGCGTAAAGCGGAAGCCACCTCATGGCGGGGACAGGTCTCCGGTGGCCGCCGGGAGCCCGGGCCGCTCGGAGCGTGGTGGGTGGGTTGGGAGCGGCGAGCCGCGCTGCCACTCTCCGGCTGGAGCGCGGGCCCTGCCCACGGGTGGACCCTCACTGCTCAGCCCGGAGAAAAGAGGCGGACAAGCACGTCTTCTCCTTCTGATTGGGCAGCGCGGCCGCTCCCGGTCAGGGAGAGACGAGCCGCGCCCTCTGCCGTGGTGGGCAGCTGCAAAGCCTGGGACTCGGCGGCGCCCACACAACTCCCGGCTCTGCTGTTCCGCGTGCCAAAGCACGCCGCTCCGGTTACACACACGCGCCCCTGCCGGAAGTCCGAAATAAAGCGAGAAACCAGGCGGGCTCGCTTCCCAGCCGGGACCCGCGCCGAGGCCTGCCGCGCTGGCCGCTCGTGCAGCTCCGGCGCGCTTCTGGAAAGCCGCGTTCAGGCGCAGGCTGGGGTCGGAGCCGTCGCCGGGCGCAGGGCCCGGGCTGCGGCCCGGAAAGGCGTTGGCGCGCCTTTTGGTCGCCGGCGCCTCCCGTAGCGTCCCTAGTAACCGCGCCCCTAGCGACCGCTGGCCGCAAGCCGGGCGCTGCGAGGTCGGGCGGCGCCTGCTCTCCCGCCCCGGGCCGGCGCGGGCGCTCGGAGCCGGGCCATGGCCTCCCCGCACCTGGCGGCCAAGCTGGCGGCCCGGCTGGCGGCGGCCAGCCTCCACCTGCCGGTGAACGCCCCCGCCGGAGCCAGAGGCGCGCAGTGCGAGCGCGAGGACCCCCTAGCGTCGGTGCTGGCGGCGACCCTGGAGGAGGAGCGGAGCAAAGGGCTGCGGTCGGCGCGGGCGTCGGTAACGGGGGACCCCGCGGGCTGAGGGCCGGTCGGGTGCCCCCCGGGGGGCGGGGGCCGGGGCCCGCTGCGGGCCCTCCCCGCTCCCTGCCCCCGCTCCAGAGGGCTGCAGACTTTCCTGGAGAGCATTTTTAAAAACTGCTTCCAGAGTGTACAAAGAACAGAACCTTTTTCCTATTCTTTCAGCATATTTTGGGAATAAATAATTCTTTGTTTTTTGTTTTTTTTTGTTTTGTTTTGTTTTGTTTTGTTTTCTCAAGACAGGGTTTCTCTGTGTAGCCTTGGCTGTTCTGGACTCACTTTGTAGACCAACCTGGCCTCGAACTCAGATAGATTCGCCTGCCTCTGCCTCCCGTGGTGGGATCACAGGCCTGCACCACTGCACCCGACTTAGTTCTCTGATTTTTTTAAATTTAATTTTTGGTTGTTTTTTTTAACCTTGAGGAAAACTGATGTGCCATAATTTTCATAAAACCTCACGTGATAAGCTGTGCTGACAAGTGTGGTTAATCATTTGGGGGCTTTGGTTAGTAGTGGGTTTTAGCACAGTCCATTAGGAGAGCGTGTTGGAAGTTCAATGGACAGATGCTCCACATATGGAGACGTCCAGATAAATCGCCCAAATCCCAGAGTTTCCTAAAGGGGCCATAAGGGTGCAGTGAGGTCTCAAAAACCATTTTCAGTATCTAGTCTGGATGCGTTTACGGCAGGAGGGCTCAGTCTGTCGTCTGTTCGCTCCACCTCGTTTCCGGCAATATTCCTTATTCTCTGAGAATTTCATACAGTGTGTTTGAACATAGTCACTCTCTCTTCTCCATCCGCTCTATCCGTTTTATTTGTTTGTTTTAGAATTTTGTGTACGGATGTGTGCCATCTGAGTTCCTGGGAGTTACGGCAGGCAGCTGTGAGCCACCACACAAGTGCTGGCAATCAGGCCCGGGGCCAATCAAGCTGCTGGACCAGCAAGTGCTCTTAACAGCTCAGCCATCCCAACATCCTTATCTTTGTTTGTGTTTCAAGACAGGGTCTCTCTGTTAGCGATGGCTGTCCTAGAACTCTGTAGTCCAGGCTGGCCTCAAACTCACAGAGCTCTGCCTGCCTCTGCCTCCTGAGGGCTGGGTTTAAAGGGGTGTGTCATGCCCAGCTTCTGTTCTCTTTAAAAGTCTACAACTTTGGATTTAAGTGCGCACTCTGTGGATGTAAAGCATCGGGACAGGCACGTGCCCTCCCACACTTGGTTTCTTGGCTGGGAATGAGGTGAAGGGAAGAGCTGTACCTACTGAGCTACACCCTTGACCTTTTTGTTTTATTGTAGACAGGGTCTCATTTGATCTAGGATTGCCTCAGACTTGCTATTAGTGGCTGAGGATGACCTTAAACTCTGATCCTCCGGACTCCATCTTTCAAATTAAGAGTATGAGGCACCATGCCTGGCTGATGGCAAAGCTTTCAGGTTATCTAGAGTGAAGCAGCTGGAGGCCCTGAGCATCATGGAGGCTCAGAGTTCTGGGCCTAGGAGGACTGATATACTTGATAAAGCTACCATTCAACATAGTCTTTAATAGCTTACAGAAGGCAAAATATTTGTGTGGAAGGAAGTATTTGGATCCTGGACCAGAATCCATTCTCTGCTACTTGCTAGGTGATTTTAGGACATGACTTCTATTTCCTTATCTACAGTTGTCTCCAATTTCCACCTCATTCAGTTGTTAATAAGAACCAATGGAGAGAATGGGTGTTGTTTCTAGAGTGATTTACATAAACCAGTAATTATAACAACTGTCAGTGTGAATAGTTCACTTGGAAATGGACACCTTGGCTTGTGGCAGAAAAGCCCACCATTAGTGTAGTTGATATTCCAGAGTGTCCTGTCACTGAAGAGTCATATTATAAACTGAGTCTGGGTGTCCAGAACCCAAATAAAAACCTAGTGTGTTGCCGTTTGTCTGTAATCCAAGTGTTGGAGGGAGGAGAAACAGGCAGATTCCTGGAACTTGTTGAAAGCCTTGTCCCAAAAAATACGGTGGACACGGTCACCTCATCTACAAAGCAAGTCCAGGACAGCCAACGCTATTCAGAAAAAAACTTGTCTTGGAAACCCCCGATAAATAGTAGATAGATAGATAGAAAGATAGATAGATAGATAGAAAGATAGATAGATAGATAGATAGATAGATAGATAGATAGATAGATAGATAGATAAGGTGAATTGTGAATAGGAAATGTGCCCGATATTGATCTCTGGTCTACACACACACACACACACACACACAGAAGGGCAGAGAGGCAGGGCCAGAGGGTCCCACATTCACTAAGAGACACAGTGAGCTAAAGTGTCAAATGCTGCATCAACCCCCCCAAAATGAAGAATAGAGACCTGCATTCCCAGAGGGGAGTTCTGTAGGTGGGAAAATGAATGAATGTTCCTCTGGTGGCTTCTGTTTTCCTAAAGAAATAAAAGGGTTATGAGGAGAATTGGTGGGCTGGGGTGGGAGAAGGGAAAGACAAGCTGGTTGCTGGGGTAGTGGGAGCCATCTCCCACAGGGACACTAGCTGTTGCGCCAGCCAGGAACCCGCTAGACATTGCTCGGTGTCTGAGTTAGTGTCAATATTTGTAAAACGTTGTTGTTTTGGAAAGCTACATGTCAGTAACGGTGGTAACTACTGAACATACCCTTCCTTTTAAATATCTAATGTTAGCGCATTTGGAAGACAGAGTCAGAACTGTGAATTTCAGACCACCCTAACCTGCATGGGAAGCTCCAGACTAGCCTAGATGATATAACAAGACCTTGTCCCCAAACAAACAAATAACTAAGTAATCTCAAACATTAGCTGGGTACAGTGGCCCACAGCTATAGTCTTAGCACTTGGGAGGCTGAGGTACACGGATTTCATTCAACATTGTAAAACTCCCATCTCTCTCTTTCCTTCCTCCTTTTCTCCCTCCCTTCCTTTCTTTCTTCCTTCTTCCCTCCCTCCTCCTTCCCTCCTTTCCTTCCTTCCATCTTTTCTTTCTTCCTTCCTTCTTCCTCTTTCTCCTCCTCCTTGTTCGTCTTTTCTTTTTCTTTTTTGGAGTCAGGGTCTCACTGTGTAGCCCTGTCTGCCTTGGAGCTCTTGGAGAACAGGAACGTACGTAGATGAGGCTGGCTTCATAGAAATGTGCCTACCTCTGCCTCCCAAATGCTGAGATTAAAGGTGTGTGCCACCATGCCTGGCCCAACAGACCTTCCGTAGCACATACTGGCCTCAAACTCACTGTGTATCTCAGGCTGGCCTTGAAGTCGGGGTCTTTCTGGCTCTGCCTTCTGAGTGCTGGGATTATAGACAGGGGCTACCAGGTTCAGTATTGAAAAGAAGATAAATTAGTAAAAGTTCCAGAATTTCACATAAACTCCATTCTCTGTGGGGCTGACACCAGTAAAACTCAGGTGTTGGGAGGCTGATTGACCCCTAAGTGGGTCAAGCCGCTCTCAGGGAGATTAGCTTCTTACAGAGTGGAACTTCCATCATGAAAAGCTTAACTCTCAGAGGAGGAGGGAAATAGCAAGCATTGTATGGTGTTTGGCCTCCAGAGGGTCCTGGGGCAGTGAAACTAGAAGTGGGAGTCATTCATTGGTTTTAGGTTAAAAACAAGCAAGCAAGCAAACAAACAAACAAAAACCTAGAAGGGTCTGTTTGAAAAATGTCCCGTGTGTTAGTGCAGGCCTCAGTGTGTGAGTGCAGCTTGCCAGGCTGCTTCTGCTTCACACACTCCTCCCTCCCTCCCTCCCCCCCCCCCCCCCCCCCCCCTCTCTTTCTCTTTCTTGTTTTTTTTGTTTTTTTCAAGGCAGGGTTTCTCTGTGTGGCCTGTCCTGGACTTGCTTTGTAGACCAGGCTGGCCTCAACTTCATAGAGATGCGGCCGCCTCTACCTGGGGTTAAAGGCGGCCACCACACCCAGCTTCTTTCTCCTTTTCAATAGTTCTTCCAGGCCAGAGACTTGCTGTTTTTAGTGTAAATGAAGGAGATAGGACCTGTTAAGAGATTTTTCTGGGGTGCTAGAGAGATGGCTCAGTGGGTAAGAGCACTGGCTGTTCTTTGTAAAGACCCTGAGTTCAATCCCCAGCAACCACAGGTAATGTAATGTGCCACCTGTAATGAGATCTGGTGCCCTCTTCTGGCAGGCAGGCACACGTACAGGCAGAGTACCATATAAATAATAAGTAAATAAATGTTAATTTAAAAAAAATATTTTCTAGGAGAATAAATGAGGCCATGGATGTTCTGCCTGAAAACTACCCCCATTTTAACTAGAGGACATATAAATATAAAACACTGACAGTTTCACAGCCTGATTTTTAGGTTTTTCATTTATGTTGGATCATAGGCCTTTTCCTTAGTACTCAGTAAGATCAGTACAGCCCTTCAGCAGCCTGTGCTTTTGGGCACAGTTTAGTCTATCGTTTTTCCTTTGGTGGAAACTACATATTTTTTTTAGCCCATGCATTCTTTCACTCCACAGATATTTACTGGACATCTGCTCTTAGCCAGGTGCCTTCCTGGAAGCCAGGAACACAAACGAGCAAACAAGTCCTTGCCATTGTAAAATGACTCTGAAGTTGGGGGAGGCATGGACATACAAATCAGCCAGGATTGGGTAGATGGTGGTGGCTGAACACAAAAGCAGAAACTAGAGCAGAAAAGGAGGTATCTCATTAAGTTGGGAGAGCTGTCACTTCAGTGAGCACAGCCAATGAAGGCTCTTTTGAGGTGGCATCTGAGTGAAGAGTGAGACAGTGTGCTGCGCAGATTTCTGGAGCATCAGCCTCCTTGAGAGAGGGAGCAAATGCCAAATGGAAAGGCCTTGGGAAATTCTGCTTTTTTTTTTTTTTTTTTAGACACGGTTTCTCTGGCTAGTCTCACACTCAAAAGATCTGCCAGCCTCTGCCTCCCGAGTGATGGGGTTAACAGTGTGAGCGGCCACCCTCCACATCACTCAGTTTTTAAAGGTCTGTGTGTGTGGTTGTCTACGTGATTCTGTGTTGGTGTATGCCAAGTGTGTGCAGTGTCCATGGAGGCCAGAAGAGGGCGCTGGATCCCCTGGAACTGGAGTTACAGATCATTGTGAGACGCCGAATGTGTGCTCAGAACTCAACCTGGGTCCTCTGCAAAAGAAGCAAACCAAGGATTCTCCTGAGGGACTTATGTGACTATAGTAAATAGTGCTTTGGTCCTACGAGTTATTGATAACAAGTTCCTGCGTATCTGTTATATCGAAGAAAAATCGTTTCCTTTCGTTTTCTTGAAGTTATTCCAAGTGAGACAACACCAGCCTCTTAAACGCTAATAATTCTTCTTATTATTCCTTTTTTTTTTTTTAAACAAAACAAAATAGTAATAAAAACCTTGGGCTAGATAGATGGGTTAGTGGTTAAGAGCACTCATTTGGAGCTGGAGAGATGGCTCAGTGGTTAAGAACACTGCCTGCTCTTCCAAAGGACCCGGGTTCAATTCCCAGCAACCACATGGCAGCTCACAACTGTCTGTAATGCCAATTCCAAGAGATCTGACACATTCACACTAATGCACAAAATTTTAAAAAACCAATAAATTGAAGGTGGTGGTATTAAAAATAAAAAAAGAGCACTTGGTCTCTTTCAGAAAGCTGGCTGCCAGCCCCAACACTGAGCAACTTACCACCACCTTACCACCACCCATAATTGTAGCTCCAGGGAATTGAACATGCACTTCTGGACCGCAGGGGCACCTTAACTCACCCGTTTGTAGATGTGTGCACGTAAGTTAAAAACTGTCCACCTGCCTCTCCACCCACCCCGTTTCCCCACTGTGGAGACTGACCCCACAGCCTGGTATGTGCAAAGACTTTACAATTGAGATGCTTCTCCAACCCAAACTTGTTTTGTTTTTTGTTTTTGAGACAGGTCTCTGTGCAGCTCTGGCCGTCCTGGAACTCACTCTGTAGACCACGCTGGCCTTGAACTCATAGAGATCTGCCTGCCTCTGCCTCCCGAGTACTGGGATAAAGGCATGAGCCACCACCGAACAGCCTAAACTATTATTTATGGTGGATTTTTCTGAATTTTCCCCCTGAAAAGGTGAAACAGATTTGTCTTCTGAAGTGACATCATGAAGCTAACCTGGGGATATACTCAGTTTTGCCTGTTCTAGGTGGTAGGCTAAATTAGAAGCCATGGTGGACGGCGCTTCTCAACTGAGAACATTAAACATATTTATCAAGAAGGTGAGGGGCTTTGAGGTGTGTGCATGTGTCCGGGTGCGTGTGCGTGTGCAGAGGCTAGAGAACAGCCTCCGTGGCTCTCTTCAGTGTTGTTTGTTGTTATCTCAGGAAGGGTCTCCCTGGGACCCTGGCTCATGGATTGGGTGTCAGGGCCCGCCTGCTGGTCTCCCCAGTGCTGGGACAAACTGTGTCGCCATGTCTGGCTTTATTTTTTTCTTTAATATGGGCTCGGGGACTTGAAGTCGGCTTCTTATGCTCACATGGCAAGCCCTTGACCAGCTAAACAAGTTCTCCAGCTTAGAACTGAAAGATGGGTAAAGGGTGTGAGGGAGGAGCCTCTCTTATAGGTAGGCCTAACCCATGTGCGGAGCTTCTCCAGGCACATGTCTGCTGCCTGCCCACAGCAGTGACGCTTCTGAAAGTCTCTTCTTCCTCCTCCAAGATCATCCCAGCCTGGCTCCTTGGAAAGCCACTGAGAACTTTGTCCCTGGGCCTCATTCCTACCCGTGTTTACTGCACACCCTTGAAGCCCCCAGGGCAGGAGCCCCTGACATGCTGGCTCTGGGCACAGGAGCAGCTGCTGCTCTTTTCTCAGAAAAAAAAAAAATAATAATAATAATAAAATAAAAATAATGCACAGCTTAGAAGAGGGTTTCTGTAGACTTCCTCTACAAGATGTCCTCTTGTTGAACAAGATGGACATCTTGCTGAGTGCCATCCTGTCTTCTGCAGTGGTCAGTGTCCTCACTTGAATATTTCCTGGCAGTTATCTGGGAACCTAACCAACATAAAGTGGGCTGACACCAGGCATGGTGGCACGTGCCTTTGATCCCAGAGCTCGGGAGGCAGAGGCAGTCAGGTCGCTGGTTCAGAGCTAGCTTGGTCTACAGAGGGAGTCTGAGGCCAGCCTCGGCCACATAGTGAGACTGCTGTAAGAATCAGCATTTGGATCAGTATCAATTCATTTGTTATTTGATTTCAAATACCGTATAGCAGGCTTCTCTCCCATCAGGCCAGCTACACCAGCTTTCCCAGGGAGGATAGGAGTGTGGCGTTCGACAGTAGTCTGAACTTCTCTGACATCTCCCACTCTGACGAAGAGTATTACAGGAAGCTGAAAGAGCTGAAGGCTGTCCATGAGGAATCCATGGCTAAGTTAGAGAAGATGTGCCAGGAGCAGCTAACGCTGAGAGACCTGCATCCAGTGATGGCCAGGGAAGACTCCTCTAGCGTCTCCTCTAGGTAAGTCTGTGCCGTGTCATGTGCGGACTGAACTAAGGTAACTGCATAGACTGACTAGAACAAATACCCGAGTACCCGCTCCTAAACTGCCCTTCCTAGATTAATGATGTATGGGAGTAATGATTAATCCCACAAAGATGGGATTTTATTCAAAATGTTTAATGGCTTATCAGTATAGTAGGTTCCCTCTTGCTTTGAGGGTCATTTGTGGCCATCTGTCTGTCTGTTTGTTTTTATTATAATTTAACTCAGTGTGTTTTGCCTGCATGTATGTATACACCACGTATGTGTCTGGTGTCCACAAAGACTTGTGAGCTGCCATGTGGGTGCTGGGAATGGAGCGTGGGTCCTCTGGAAGAGCAGCCAGTGTTCTTCACTGATGAGCTGTGTCTCCGGCCCCTTCACACGTGTTTTCCTGCTTTGCTTCTGCGTACAGATATGTAGCAAAATATTTAGGTCGGCCCACTTTTGAAACATGTATATAGTCCAGGATGATTTAGAACTTACCATGTCCCAGGATGGCCTCAAACTCTGGGCAATCCTCCTGCCTCAGCCTCAAAAGTGTGAGATTACAAACAGGAGCCATCATGCTCTTTCTTTCTTTCTTTCTTTCTTTCTTTCTTTCTTTCTTTCTTTCTTTCTTTCTTTCTTTCTTTCTTTCTTTCTTTCTTTCTTTCTTTTTCTTTCTTTCTTTCTTTCTTTCTTTCTCTCTCTCTCTCTCTCTCTCTCTTTCTTTCTAAAAGATTTATTTATTATGTATAGTGCTCTATCTGGTATAGTATTCTGTCTGCATGTACACCTGCAGGCCAGAAGGGGGCACCAGATCTCACTATAGATGGTTGTGAGCCACCGTGTAGTTGCTGGGAATTGAGCTCAGGACCTCTGGAAGAACAGCCAGTGCTCTTAACCTCTGAGCTGCCTCTCCAGCCCCTCTTTCTTTCTTCTTTCTTTTTTATTTTATGTACATTGCTGTTTTGCCTGCACGTGTGAGGGAGGTCACACATGGACAGGAGAACAGGAGTTATAGATGGTTGTGCTCTGCCACATGGGTGCTGGGAATTGAACCTGGGTCCTCTGGAAGAGCAACCAGTGGCTCTTAGCTGCTGAACCATCTCTCTAGCCCTCCTCCTCCTCTTTCTTTTTTTGAAACAGGGTCTCATATAGTTCAGGCTAGCCACAAATGAGCAGTGTGGCCAACGGTGTCCTTGAATTCCTAATCCTCCCACCTCTACCTCCCAGATGATGGGATTACAGTTGTGTTCAATCTTGCCTTGCTTGAGCTGAGCCTTCTGTTGTTGTTTGAGATAAGATGCCTCTGTGTAGCCCTGGCTGTCCTGGGACTCTAGCGCAGTCTGTAGAGCTGAGCCCCTTTACCTAATCCAGCTGGTCAGCTCTCTGCCCATCTTCTGTATGCCACAGCTGTCTGCTGAGGTGGACACCCCCCAAGGAGGTCCCAGATGTGCAGCACGTGACACGCCAGCGTCTCAGAAGCAGGAGTGGTGGTCATGCTCAGGGGCCGATCGGAAGCAGGGACCTGTTTTCAACAAGAGTGTTAAACTTAAGTTCAAAAAGAATTTTTCCCCAAACAGCGCTGGGAACCAAACTCTCAATTCATGAGACGGGCTCTCACTATATTGCTGAGGCTGGCTTTCAACTGCATATCCTTCTGGTCTTGGCCTCCATTAGCATGCCCAACTGAGTTCAAACTTGGAGGAGAAATAAGAGGTAGAGCAGAAGGAAGGAAGGAAGGACAGCACCCAGGCATGTACCCACCCAGGCATGGTGGGGAAGGAAGTTAGTAGGTGAGAAGACTTTGAGAACGATGACTAGGCTAGGGAGGGGCAGGGCTCCAGGGTAAGCAGGGACCAGACTGATTGGGGGTTCAGACTTTATAGCAAAGAGGAAAGTTTCAGGTAGGAGTGCTGTGGTCAGGCATGTGCAAGATGGTGACTCTGGGAGCAGAAGGAAAAAATAGAAGTGAGACAGGAGGGCAGGTTCCTTCTCTCAAAAGTGATCCAGAGTCCTCTCTCAGCTCCATTCCATGTCACGATCCTTACACAGCTACTCGCTTCTAACTGGCCATACCATCTGTCTTAAAAAAAATAATTACATTCATTCTAACATTTGGCCACATAAAACTGAAAGTGTACCCTAATTATTATTTCTCCTTAGTTTTGCATCGGAAAAGAACAGCCCAATTCCTGTCATGGTGGTGACGTCATTTTCAGAGCCGGACCTAGGCCTGTCACCTTCTTTGTCTACTGCTTCTGAAGAGGAGCTGCCCAGCCCAGAGAAGGACAGCCCCAGGGAGAGCAGAACGATGGCCTATGCCAAGGAGCTCATCAACAACATGTGGAAAGGGTTTTCCCTTGAAGATTATATTCAGTATGATTCTGACTTCGGAACAGCCAAGAAAGCCAGAAGGAAACCCAAATCCTGGGTGCCCAAGGTTACGGTGCCTGTGCCCTTTCAAATGACGGTTAGAGACCAGGAGAAGAGAGAGGAGGCCTTGAAAGCTAGATCAGATCTGGAAATGAGGCAGAAGCTGCTCAAGAGCGATGAGGATGAGGCAGAGTGTAAGAAGAAATTCCGAGCCCATCCTGTTCCCTCCTACGTGCTCCTTCCACTTTACGAGGACCTGGTCAGGCAGAGTGAAGAGCGGAGGAGGACCGCCAAGGAGAAGAGTAAGGCCGCGCTCCTGGCCTCCCAGAAGCCATTTAAGTTCATCGAGAGGGAGGAACAGAAGCAGGCCATCCGTGAAAAGCTGCTGAGAGACCTTTTTAAGTCTAAAAGGAAAACAAAGGGCTTTAAAGCCAGACCTGTGCCTCATTTTATTTACAGGCCAGCTGCTAATGGCAAGTCAAAGGATGGAGAATTCTACAGGGACATGAGGAGGCAGCTGAAGTCCCGAGAGCTGCAGCAGAATCCGTCCTGGCCCTACCTGCCAGCTTACAGGCAACCCAGGAACCCCAGAAGTCACGGAAGGCCAAGGCTGAGGCACAGGTTCCTGAGCCCTGATGATGGAGACTTCGCTGAGGAACAGAAGGAGCCCTTCTCGGCACAGAGTGTTCCAAAATGCTCAACCCCTGGTAAACAGTGCGGTCTTCGTGACTTCGCGCGCCACATCTCTAAAAGACAGAAGGTCTTCGCAGACATCAGAGCAGATGAAGAAAATCTGAAAGAAACATGTGGACCTTATCTGTCTTCAAGGTCTAAATCACCAGTAAGAAGCGCATGGGCAAAGCCCAGGCCTTCGCAGCGCAGCCCTCCGATGCCCACCGTGTCTTCCCGGGGTCGGGAACAAGCCATCAGGTAAGCCACTGGCATGGGCGCTGCCGGCCGCGTGGTTGCTGAGCTGGCAGATGCGGCCCTGTGGGTTTTAGCTTGGTAAATCTGAAATTACTAAACTGTCTGTAAGGTACTGTAGTACACGGTGGAGAATTGTTTGCTAGGAATGTTCTAAGAAACAAATGTGATTTCTGTGTTTCCTCGGGGACAGACAAGCTCCCGCCATCAGTCTTACAAGGATTTCCAATTTCTCAATTCAGATTTTGGTCAAAAGGTCGTCTTATTTTTTCAGCCTTTGAATTATCCCTTGTCAAATTCTTGCTGGACAACTTTCTCTTTGGCTTAAAGTGAATTAAGCCTTAGTTTGTTGCCCTCAGGAAATCACTTGAGGAAAAGAAAATGTTGGAAGAAGAGAGAAATCGGATCCTAAGTAAACAGAAGCAAAGAACCAAAGAATTGCAGAAACTCCTGGCAACCCGGGTTAAGGCTTATGACTCTCACCACAGCTTAGCTCAGATGCTCGAATCCCGAGTAAACAATCTCAGGTATTGCGGAAGAGCCTGCGCTCAGATGCTGGCTGGCTTCCACCCAGTTTCCTTCCCTTCCCTTTCCTTTTTCCTTTCCTCTCCTTTTTCCTTTTCTTCCCTTTCCTTTTTCCTTTTTCCTTTCCTTCCCTTTCCTTTTTCCTTTTTCCTTTCCTCTCCTTTTTCCTTCCCTTCCCTTTCCTTTTTCCTTTCCTCTCCTTTTTCCTTTCCTTCCCTTTCCTTTTTCCTTTCCTCTCCTTTTTCCTTTTCTTCACTTTCCTTTTTCCTTTTTCCTTTCCTTTCCTTCCTTTTCCTTTTTCCTTTTTCCTTTCCTTTCCTTTCCTTCCCTTCCCTTCCCTTCCCTTTCCTTTCCTCTCCTTTCCCCTTCCTTCCTTCTTTCCTTCTTTCTCTCTCTTCCTTTCCATTTAGCCAGTGGACACCTAGATGCGAAGTGGCATCTTAACTTATGGGTTTAAACAATCTTTGGCTGTTTGTGCTCAGTTCACAGGCATATGTGCACACATACACAATCTTATGATGAGAATCAGTGCATACACTCACCTCTATGGCGAAACCCCGAGACCATGTGGAGCAGAAGCACTTTCTGTTCTGGCCGTAGTTAATAGTCCTGCTCTAATACTCTCACAAAACCTTATTCGTCCATGGATACTCTTACTTATAAGTTACATGAATGTTTGGAATAGCCACACACACAAACATATTTATACACATGTGCACATACACACATTATGTATATGGCGCTGAGGATATGTGGGTCAAAGCCAGCACTCTGGCTGAGCTGGCTCTATTCGTGTCACTGTGACTGTGCAATAAATCACCGAGAAAAGTCTGCAGCACTGAGCTCCATCCCCAACCCAGAATTTTTTCAATTAACAAGTCAGTTCTGTTTTAAGTCTATACCAAACACAAAGGCTCCAGTGAGCACGTCATGGGCACATATACCCTTCATGACTGTTTCCCTGTGCTAGCTAACAGCAGCCACAGAACACCTAGAGCCCTTTGCAGAATACTATAACTCTGTGGAACAAGAGTTTGAAAACCAGTGTTGCACATAAAAGTGGTCATGTTTAAGCAAGAAAAGCTCTCCTCCAAAGCTGGGTAAGTAGTATGACTTACTCACTTTTGATCTGATTTATAAGATCTGAATACATATATATTTGCTTTTAGTTATTCTGAGTATTCCTTTACAGTACAGCATTAGCCTACAAATAGAGCCTAGATAGATGAACTTGAGCAAAAAAAAGTCCTTAGGAATACGGTGTTTACCTGTAGGAAGTTAATACCAATGAGTCTTAACCTGAGGGAGCATACCTATGTAAAATATGATTGGCTTTTGTACCCATGAAACTCTTGTCTGGTTGCTGGTAATATATCTTACAGACAGAAAATCAGCGGCTTTTAACCCCTTGTGGGAGCTACAGTCCAAAGAATGAGCACAGCGACGCTCAAGCATTTTGGTTCTCAAGTCTCTGTTGCATGCTGAATTCTCATGAGTCCCCTTTTCTCTCTGTCCTGCTCCCGCTCAATTACTGTTGCCACTAACCCTTGGGTGATCTCATTTAGGAGGAAAAGAAAAGCAGGTTTGGTTTTTTGTTTGTTTGTTTGTTTTGTGACAGGGTTTCTCTGTGTAGCTCTGGCTGTTCTAGAACTTGCTCTGTAGACCAGGCTGGCCTCAAACTCAGAGACCCGCCTACCTCTGCCTCCCAAGCGCTGGGATTAAAGGTACGCACCACCACCCTGCTTCTGGGTCTTGTTTTTGAAAAAAAAAAAAAAAATTTTTTTAAAGATACCTGATTTGGACCAGATTTTCTTGGCTTTGTACACTTATAAATAAGATACTTTCAGGCCAGTTTGAAGTCTTTTTGTCTTGAAGAATTTTGAAATCAAAATGCCCAGACAGTTCCTACGGCAATACAAGATATGCTTTCAGAATTTGGGATTTTTATTCTGGACTTATTAGAATCTTTTCTTTCCCCAAGACAGGGTCACTGTGTAGCCCTGGATGTCCTGGACTCACTTTGTAGACCAGGCTGGCCTCGAACTCACAGAGATCTGCCTGCCTCTGCCTCCCTGAGTCCTGGGATCACAGGTGTGAGTTGCCGGGCCCTGCAGCTTTTAAGAATCTTACCAGTCTAGAAAAGAAACCGAAGTGAACTATTGGTCCCCTTATAAAGCTTCTATAGCTGGCCTGTTAAAATGCCATTCTCTTTGTCCAATTCCAGAAAGAGCGGAAAGGCCAGGATGAAAGAATACCGCCAAGAACTGGAGGAACAAGATAAGAAGTTACAGAACAGGCCGATGCTGTTTGAGAGAGTTGCCCAGGTCATTTTTGTGGGGATTTAGGGCTGGTACCAGCCTCCTGTTTCCCAGTGCCTCTGGCTTCCGTGTGTGCTCACCCAGTGTCACTGGCCTGCGTGTGTGTGCTCACCTCCCTCATGTGTCCTGTGATTGCTGGGACATGCAGTTTCCGGGGGCAGCTTCACCTAGTCTGCAAAGGAAGTCATCTCGCTTAAGATCTGATGAGGCTCGTAGCTCAATAAAGAACATGGAGCCAACCCAGTCCGTCTCAAGACGTTACTGCCACAGTCTACTTTCAGTGCCTGGTCTTTTCAGTCAGCCCAATTCTGGTTCTGGTGATGCTTTGGGATATGAATGGAAGCATTTGGTGTGTGAGCACAGTACGCAATGTAGGGAGACCCTGTCTCCTCAAAGTATTTTAAATTGGATATTTATTTATTTAAATTTTTTAAAAATTTTATGTGTATTAGTGTTTTGTCTGTGCACCACGCGCATTTATTTCCCGCAGAGATCAGAGAGTATTGGATACCGTGGAACTGGAGTTGTGAGCCGCCATGTGGCTGCTGAGAATTGAACCCAGGCCCTCTGTAGGAATAAGTGGTCTTAACCACTGACCCATCTCTCCAGGCCTAAAAGCATAAAATAAATAAATAAATAAATAAAAAGTAAATAAATAAAAAAGCAGATCTTCCTGCTTGCCCTGCTTGCCCATTGTCCTGTCAAATGGGTCAGTACACCTTGACAACAATGCAGTCATCCATTCCCAGGATTCCATTCTTTCCCGTTTTCACTGGAGGTCTCAAGGGTCTCATGACTACCCTCCCCAGTCAGACTGCTCAAGTTCAAAGAAGGTAAGCTGTAAGTTAGTAAATGATGACACTAGGATCAGAACCCAAGCTGATCTGCTTTCCTTAACCCTTCCTCCCAGAGGTAAGCGTCCGAGGCACGGAAGAGTGCGTGAAATCCCTCTGTGCATCCTGTCAGCCTTCAGTTTTGAGACTTGCTCTCTTGTATCTCAGGCCTCAAATTCCTGCATAGCCAAGGTGAACCTGAACTTGTGACTGCTGCCTCTACATCCCGAGTGCCGCAACTACGGGTGTGGGCCAGCACTACTGATTTTATGTGGTGCTAGGGAGCGAATTCAGAGCCTCACGCCAGCTGGGCACATGCTGCACCCCCTAAGCTCCAGCCTTCCTGCCCCCCCCCACCTCACTTGCCCCTTTACACCTTCACTGGAGGCTTTGCCAGACTCAGGCCTCCCTTTGCCCTTCACCTCTTTACTAGCGCTATCTTCTAAGCAAGGAAGATAGCGCTAGTTTCTTCCTTTCTTTCTTCCTTCTTTCCTATCTTTAGCTTTCTTAGCTCACACTCACTCAAATCATCTCTCACAGTCCTGTGTTCTCTCATGAGCCTACACACACGTCTGTCTTCATCCCTCTCACCACCATCTGGGGAGTCTCTGCAACGTTGCTCTTCCATGTTAGCTAACTGACTTTAAGAGTGATGGCTAAATCTTGGTATTCCCAGCATCTAGAACTTACAGTCCTGTCTGGCTGTGGGAGAGACAGTGATAAGCATTCAGGGAGCCTAACAGTTGTGATGAAATTGGCCAGACTAGACTGTACATTTTCTTTTCTGGGTTAGCCCAAGCTAAGAGCAACATTCTGACATACTAGTTATGAGTCCCAGCATCATAGACAATTCTCTCACACTGTGAATTCCCACCATTCCTAAGCACAGAGAAAGTGTGACAAAATCTATGAGGAGCACATTGAAAGCAAGTTGACTTCATAGCTGATAGTCTCCTCCAACTTTTGGCCCTCAAATTTTCTGCTCCCCTGGGGCATTCTTCCCTGCCCAACATTTCTCGAGCTCCACTAAGCCTTGTTAGAAGCAGGTATCCAGCAACCCTTAATAAGCGAGAGAACTGCGCAGACTAGAGTCCTTTACCTTGAGCGAAGGCACTGGTGACGGCTTCCTCCATCTGTGCTCTACAAAGGACAAAAGTAACCCTTTTGGGCAGGACCTTCTTTGCTGTGAGAAAGTAAGCATGACTTTCTTTCACTGTTCAGTCCACAACCTCTCCAGTTCTTGTGCACGGTGAAGGTGGTGGATAAGCACTGTTCACATCAGAAAGTGCTAAAGATAAGTCAGTGTCCACTGACGGAGACACCGATCGCCGTTCTTTTGGTTTTGTTAACATAAATTAGTGCCCTTTTTTTCCTGCAGTCTCGGGTTTTGCTGTGACTGTTGCTAATTAGCAGGTGTTATTTAATAACTTCTTTTGCAGCTCTCTGCATTGCCCATTTACAAACATTAATTGTGGCCGCCATACCTGTTGCGCTGTCCTCCAGCAAGAAGTGCCTGTGATTGGCTGAAGGGCCAAGCATGTTGTCCTTGTTCTTGGAAGTCATGGGGTTTAGTAAATGAACAGATGTTAAGTTGAATTTTCTTACTTACTAGCACTAGCTTTGATTGGTCTCTTCCTTTCTTTTCTTTCCTTCTCTCCCTTCCTTCCTTCCTTCCTTCCTTCTTTCCTTCCCTCCCTCCCTCCCTCCCTCCCTCCCTCCCTCCCTCCCTCCTTCCTTCCTTCCTTCCTTCCTTCCTTCCTTCCTTCCTTCCTTCCTTCCAGTTTTTTGATGCAGGTCTTATATGGCCCAGGCTGGCCTCCACTCATTATAAAGCCAAGGATAACCTTGGACTTCTGACCCCATGCTGCTTTCTTAGAGCCAGGATTGTAGATTTGTTTTACCGCTCCTGGCTTGTGTGGCCCTGGGGATTGAGCCCAGGACTGGTGCAGACTCTGCCCCCAGCCCTGGATGTATCACTGCAGCTTGTTTCATTCGCCTCTGCAGTCTCTGCCACATAGTTCTCATTTCTCACTTGGATTTCAGTTCACCAAGGTTTGTTGGCACTCCACAGGTTCTGGACACATTATCACTTTTCATATGTGTGCCTGCGTGTGTGTGTGTGTGTGTGTGTGTGTGTGTGTGTGTGTGTGTGCGCGCGTACGCACCAGAGGTCAATGTTAGAGATCTTCCTCAATCACTCCTCATTTGGCTTTTGAGGAAGAGGCTCGAAGTGAACCTGGAGCTTGTGAAATTAGCCTAATGTAGTGGTGCATGCCTTGAATCCCAGCATTCCAAAGGGAGTGGCAGGTGGATCTCTCTGAGTTCAAGGCTAGCCTGGTCTACATAGGACCAGGACAGTCCATGAGACCCTGCCTCACCTGCATTATTTTAAAACTATTGTTATTGACAGTGGTGCAGTTTAACAGATTTTGTTTTTGTTTGTGTTTGTGATTTTTCTAGACATGGTTTCTCTGTGTGGCCCTGACTGTCCTAGACTTACTTTGTAGACTAGGCTGGCCTCTAACTCACAGCAATCTGCCTTCCCCTTCCTCCCTGATTAACATAAGTTTTAAGTTGTGTGTCTTTTTCAGTCTGTCAGAGTATCCCGAAGGGCATGGTAATAGCCCTTACAATTGAGCTTTGCTATTTTGGCTTCTCCTGCAGAACCCTAGATCCAGCAACTGTGGTTTCCTGTTTCCTTAATTGGCTGTTGACTGGGTGCTGCCTCACACCTTGAATACGGGGCGTTATTGGTCCACCGGAACCGAACCGGGCTGTGAACCCTGCTTTCAGCTGAGGTTCAGAGGGAATTTCTGGCCCCAGATCTCGTGTAAGCTCTCCTCAGAGGAGCTAAGACTGGGCCAAAGCCAAGGCAACAAACTGAGTACCTTGTCACCATGTAGTTGCCCAGGGCTGACTTCCGGCAACCGTGGTTTTTCTTTTTCCCAACAGGAACTTGCACGCCGGCTTGAGGCCGATAACTGTAGTTTATTAATTTTCATCGGTTCATTTTTCTACTGTGTGCCTGGAGCATACCTTACTTACCCATCCAAAAGTTGATAGGGTTTGGCTGCTCATAGCATGTTATTAAAGACAGTTCGCCTTGTGCATTCTTGTACCTGTTCTCTGGACACATATGTGAGTCTCTCTTGATCCATGTCTAAACATGTCACTGTCAACCATAGAAGCATAGGACTGTTCATCTTTGTTTTCACTGGTGCTTGTAAATTCACGCATCTTAGTAGAGGTTTATAGCTTTTGCTTTCATCTAAAAAAGCTTGTCTCTCCTATAGAGAAATGCAAGGATGGCAGCAGAAAAGCATTATTCTAACACCCTAAAAGCACTAGGACTATCTGAGGAGTTTGTTTCAGAGAAAGGCCAAAGTGGAAGAGTGTCTGGAAACGTCAGCAGGCGAGAGCTGAGAAGCTGCACGTCGGACAAAGAAAGGTAGTGTGCCCGCGGGAAGCAGGCCCGGGGCTTCCTGCTGTCAAACACCTTTTCTCTGGGGGAGTGCCTGTGAACTGTTGGAACGCACACTCCCATTTTACATGGTTAACACAGTGTAAGTACCACACAGTGATAAAGCGTTTTGATTGGAATATAAGGAGTCAAGTTTCAAGAGAAATTAGTTGTCAGGGGAACATTTGATTTCCCCATTGGTGCCGCCATAGTTATGGGTAGGTGCTGGAGCTACAGACATGAGGCCCACCCCCTACATGACGGCATGGTAACACAGGGCTGTGCCCCTTCGAGACCAATGCATTTTTCCTTTGATAGATTGATACATTTCTTTCTTTAGCTCTTGTGAAGAAGAGAGCGAGAACAAGGAAGAAAACGATTTTATTGATACCAACAGCCAGGATTCTTGCCAGGAAAACAAGGAAGGTGTTGAAGAAAGCAGGGGCAGAGGTTCTGAAGAGTGAACTCAAAGCCAAGATTTCCTCTCGCTGCTGCTGGTGTGTGCAGCCTTGGGGCCGAGGCGCCTGTGTGTGGATGCTATGAAGGAACAGCTCTTACACTGCAGGGCTGCTGAGCCAAGACTTCATGCCTGGAGGGGCTGAGTCCACACGACGCTAGATTACAGCTTTGCCTGCTGCAATTTTGAAATTGCTATGTTTGCTGTTTGTGATTATGATTATATTTGTATTTTCAAAGTGTATGAGGGCTGGAGAATCACAGCTGTCAAAAATGGATTAGTTATGGAAATGGACATTTATATTTGGTAGGGGAAAAGTTTGATAGTGAGAGAACTGTTAGCTTTCGAAGATCTATTTTTAAATTTACTAGGTATTTTCTATTTTTTCTCTGAGCCATTTTTTAAACTTTTTATCTCCCTGTCCCCTCATATCTGACTTTCGCCCTTGCAGCCTTTCCCCCACCCCAAATAAAACATACACAAACCACAAAAAACCAAGCATCGAAAAATCTCATTGTGGAAGCTGTAGCATGTCACAGTGTGTCCCACACTGTAGCCCTCTGTCCACACATCCTCGCTTGCAGTGTTCATTGCAGTGAGTCATCAGTCTGGCTCGAGGCCTCTGGCTTCTGTGACACTGTCAGCCCTCCCCGGGACTCCTCCAGATTGTCCTGTTGTGTCACAAAGATCCTGCAGGGTTGGATCAGCAGGACCAACCCTTTCAGGTCCCAACCATTTGCAAATGATACAGATTCAGGGTGGGCCGACTCGGAGCCCTCCGTGTGGGCCAGGGGCAGCTGAGCTGGTCAGCGTCTGTCCCTTAGCATCACCACCAGGGCTACTCTCCAGCTAGGCCACCTAATCCCGCCAGTCAGCAGGAGGCTGCTCTTCTGCTCTCATCCCTCAGGACCAGCTCACCCACACCCGTGACTCAGAGCCAGCCTCACTGTGCCGCTCAGGCAAGGCCTGCCCTCCTGAGTGCTGCAGCCAGCAGGAGGGAGGGGAGCTCTTCTGCTCGCATGACTTCAGGGTCAGTTCTCCTTACTGTATCTGAACCATTTTAAAATAAGTAATATACTACAGAAACAAATAGGTACTGCTAAATTACTCATATCACGGGCACACTTTCTTTTTTGCTGTTGAGATTAAACTCAGGGTTCACACATACTTAACATGAATTCTACAATTGAGCTATATTCCCTAATCCCTCAAGTTATTTTTTATAGATAAAATATTAAAAAACCTATGCTGCTCTTAAATCCTGTGTGCATATAGAATAATTTTGGCATTTGTGAGTGATGATCTTAGTTAAGACATAAAGATTCCTTCTCTATATATGCTTAAATTGTGATCTTAACTTGCCAAACAAAAATCCTAAAGGTAATTCAGACTTATTTATTTATTTTTTCCTTGTTTTTTTGAGACAGGGTTTCTCTGTGTATCCCTGGCTGTCCTGGACTTGCTTTGTAGACCAGGCTGGCCTCTAACTCAGAGATCCACCTGCCTCTGCTTCCAAGTCTGGTATTAAAGAAGTACACCACCACCACTGGGCAATTTTATTCCTAATTCCATGTCTTCACATTCTTTAATCCCATGTGTACATCTGTGTGGGGATAGGAATGTGGACTCAGGTGCCTGTGGACGCCGGAAGAGTGCTTGGACTGGAGTTCCAAGGAGCTGTGAGCTAACTGATATTGTGTGTTGGGGACTGGACTTGCAAGAGCAGCGCATGTGTCTAACCTCTGGGCCAGCTCCCCAGAGCCAAGCAGATATTACAATTCAAAAATAACCAAGGACAGGGCATGGCTCGTGTTTTGGTTGGTAACTGTACTTTTTCCTTAAAGATTTTATTTATGTGTGGGTTTCTGCCTGCCTGTTTGTCATGGTGTGTATGGCGTGTGGTTCGGTGCTCTCGATGATGGCGTCAGATTTCCTGGAACTAGAGTTTCACATGGTTGTGTACCTCTGAGAGGGTGTTTGGAATTGAATCTGGGTCCTGTGGCAGAGCAGCCAGTGCTCTTAATGGCTGAGATTTCTTTCGATATATTTATGTGCTCACTGAGAAAGGGAAAGAAAACCCTCTGTTTTCTCACTTTCCTTGCAGCTGGGTGGGCCTGTTATACCATTTAGTCAGGAAGAAGTGGGTTTGGGGAAATCCTTTGAAGGGAAGAGAGCAGCTTGGCCCTCCAGCCCTTTCTTTCTCCTTCCTTCCTTCCTTCTTTTTTTTTTTTTTTTTTTATGAGATACTTTTTTTAAAAAATATTTATTTATTAGGCATACAATGTTCTGCCTGCTTGTTACACCTAGACTCCAGAAGAGGGCATCAGATCTTACCATTCTAGATGGTTGAGAGCCACCATGCGGTTGGTGGGAATTAAACTCAGGACCTTTGGGAGAACAGCCAGTGCTCTTAACCTCTGAGCCGTCTCTCCAGCCCCTCTCCTTCCTTCTTAAGTCATTGAGTTTTCATTAAGCAGCAGAATAGTGTTCTTAATTCAAGAGATGTAGCCACCTCCTCGTTTCACGTACTGTTTGAGGTATCATTTCTAAATCCCCACTGCGTCTGCAATGCTGAGCATGTGCGGTGAGAGTGGTCATTTACTGTTTGAAGAGCGCTTACTTTCCCAAGAAGAAAACCATCTGCATTAACCTTGAGGGATGGAACTCCAAAATAGGATACCAGCATGAACAGCAGCACTGAAGCCTTGTTGAATATTTCCATTCACTTTGGATTATTAATAAAGAGCACGACCACCTCCTTTTGGGGAACTGTCTGACTCTTCCGAACACTGTGGAAGGGATGCCGTTGCCACTGGGGGCTGGTTGGGAGGAAGACGTGCAGAGGAATAGGAAGCTATCAGAAGGTAATGGGGGAGTGTAGACAGTACATTATATGTGTGCACAACCCGACAGAGAAAAGAAAGAGTGTGGTAGAGTTTACTACAAAAATAACCTATCTCATTGTGCTACAGGGTGGAAGAAACTACAGTGCCCATTTGCCATCCCTAAAAGCTATGCTCCAAAAGCCATGGCAAAAGATGTGTGGCCAAGAAATGGAAGTGGCTCATGGGAAAAAGCAGGGCAGGAGGAAGCCTAATGAAACCTAATGTCAGTACTCTGACACAATGGCTCAGCTCTCTTGTAATCCCAGCACTTAAGAGACCGATGCAGGAGAGTTGCTGTGAGTTCAAGGCACCCTAGGCCATATACTGAGTTTCAGGCCAGTCTTGGTTAGTCTGTCTATACTTGATCTTAAGAAAGTTCAAGATAAGACAGTTCATTAAAGACACCGATATGGGCACATTTACTACTGTGAGACTAATTTTTCTTGTATTATTTACATATCAAAATTTTAGGGCTCTGTTCTTCCACAGTTTAGTGAGGATTTGTATAACTCTGTTCCTGACAGGGCTGAGAAGATGAACTGTGTTTGCCTCAGTATTCCTTTCTCAATAGGATGGTGTGGGCTAGTATTTCCTTTTGCTGCCGGGTCTAGTTTTCCCTGTCATGAAGCCCTCAAGTTTCAGGTCTCAGTCCAACTGAGGAAGTGGGACTGGCCTGGAAGGAGTCATGGGGGAGTGGTTTTTAAGGAAAGGATGGTGGGGAGGGCTTTAGCGTACACATGGGAGAGCGGGCTGCCTCCTTCCACTGTGTGTGTGCGGTGTTTACAGTGGCTCAAACTGTGGCACTTTGCCTCATGTCCAGCCTGCAGGCAGCTGGGGAGACACCACAGCCTCACGTCTCAGTCACTGCGGTGTGGAAGTACTCTGTATTAAAGTGCTCCGTGTTAGAGGCATAGCTCAAGGCTGGAACACTTGCCTAGTGTGCCCAAGGTCCTGAGTTTGGTCTCCATCACCAAACAGAATTAAAAAACCCCAAAGGTTTATAGAATCCAATGGTGATAAATAAGACACTAGGAATGCACTGTGCACATGGTTGGTTTGTCTAGTTTCTGTCAGGCCCAAAAACGTGTTTTGTTCTGGAAAATGATATGTAAATAGGTCTCACTGTTGCCACAGTAACAGCTAAACCACTGTAAATTACATAAAATTGCTTCCTTTTTCTCTTTGATGTTTGGGAGTTTTTGAACCTACACATCCGAAAGCGTATGCTCATCTACCCTCCAACCAGTGTTGCTGGTTATTGGCCAGTCAGTCATTGCTTTGCCAAGTTTGACTCTGTCTGCACTCGCGCACGCACACACACACACACACACACACACACACACACACACAGCTTGAGGGAGGACTTTCTTTGTGCTAGGCAAATGTTACTCTAACGCTGAGCTACTTCCTCAGCCCCCACACGCAGACTTTTGATCCCTGAATCATTTGACAGTAGTTTGCTTAATTATAACATTTTACACCTAAATACTTTAGCTGTCTTTTATATAACCACATTGCCATTAGAATGCCTAAAAAATCATATACACACACACACACACACACACACACACATATATACATACAAAATCTTTTCTTGAAACTGAAGATTGGACCCCTACCCCTGAGCTGTACACACAGCCCAAAAAAACCGAATATTGATGTAATACTCCCGTCTCTCATACAGTCCACCTTCAGTTCACCCAGTTGTTCAAACGGTGTTAGCTCTGGATCGGCTCGGGCAGCGCTAGTGTGCTGATCCCGTGTGCACCCTGGGAGGGCAGGGTGTGAGGAGCCGCAGGTGGCCTGCTCGCCATTTTTCTTGATGCTGAATTTGATCGCTCACAGGGCTATTGTCACGTATTTGTGTTGTGAAGTGATTGCTCTCCTTTTATAACAATGCTGTGGGGTGGGGTGCGAGCGACGCTCAGTATTATAAATCTCTGCCTCTGACAAAGTCTTCACCCACGAGTTTTACTATTCCCTTATACTAATCGGCCCTGAATGTGTTGAGATGCTGTGCTTTGTGCAGTGGCCATTTTCTAACTGTTTACCTGCTCTGTGTTAGGCAGCAGTCGCTCACGGGCTTCCTGCCTCTTCTACGTGGTGTACCATCACTATAACGGATGAATTCTTTTACTCCGTGTGTTATATTTATTATCTTCGTTACATTTTTAGAATTATGCTGAAATTGCCCTAAATTTGGCCAGCATGTGGCCCCATAAACTGGCTCCTCACCCATTGGCCCTCTTCCTTATCTTCAGGCACAGCAACACTTTCAAAGATCAGCTTACATTTCCCTGCCCAGATCCTTTAAGAAGTCCAAAAGCCCTCTATGGGGAGTAGTGTTTCTCCATAATGTAATGAGGCTACTGCTATTGTGCCTGGCTTACAAAGGCTGTGAAAAACAGACCTAATAAGTTCAAGTAAAACACAGAGATTTTTTTGAGACTTTAGCATAAATCCTATTAAATGTGTGTGGTATCTTTCTTATTTAATATTATTGGCATATGTACAATTAAAAAAACCAGCATCGGGGTGGTGGTGGTGCATTCCTTTAATCCCAGCATCCTAGGAGTCAGAAGCAGGTGAATCTCTGAGGTTGAGGTCAGCCTAGTCTGCAGAGAAAGTTCCAGGACAGCCAGAGCTATACAGAGAAACCCTGTCTTAGAGAGAGAGAGAGAGAGAGAGAGAGAGAGAGAAAAGAAAGAAAAGAAATAATAAAAATTTTAATTCCAGGCCATCATTGGATATGGTGGCCCAAGCCTAAATATTGTTTCATGTTATTTTATATGTATGGGTGTTGGGTGTTTGCCAGTGTCTGCCTGTGAGCTTGCTGCCGGTGAAAGCCAGAAGAGGGCATCAGCTCATCTGGAGCTAGTTACAGCTGAGCCCCTGTGTGGGCGCTGGCAAGTGGACCCGCGTCCTCTGGAAGGGCAGCCAGTGCTGCTAACCCCTGAACCACCTCGGCAGCACCCATGTCTGTAAAGATCTGGGTGTGTAGTCTTCCCCAAGGGGAGCTCTGTCAAGATGTAGCCCCGGTAGAGACGATTGCCCAGTACACACAAGTCCCTGGGTTCAGTCCCAGCAGGGAAGGAAGGAAGAAAAGCAGTTCCCCGTGTGTGATGTCAGTAACATTATAAATGTGTAATCTTATCATATAACCTGTGGGCCTGTCCTTACGTCCCTACAGGACACCATCTACTTCACTCTCTGGCCTGTTACCTCTTTCTGGCCAACTTTGACTTCCAGACTTTGACCCTTGACTTCCTCATTCTTAAATACTTCCTTTCTACCAGGGCTGGATAGTCCCTTAAAAATGTTTGTGTGTCCGAGTGCATGCCTCTGCTGGTGCATGCAGGTGCCCATCGAGTCCAGAAGAGGGCACTGGATCCCCTGGAG